ATTTGTAGGAAAATGTGCACCTTATACGGAAGAGAAATAGTAGGAGGAGGCTCAGACAACACCTGTAACTGCACCATTCAGGGTAATTATTGTTAACACATACCTCAGTTCATATTCTTCTGGACCAGATCTTAGGAAGTAGATAGCTGAAACTCTGTCTTTTGCTTTCTGCCTTTGCTGACTTAACTTAGAAAGGCCTATCTTGCCTCCATCTCTATGTATCTACCTCTATTTTGTTCTGTTCGGGAGGTTTCATTATTTTTACATTTAAATCTCCTACCCATCTGAAATGTATTGTGGCACATGTTATGGACTAGGGAATCTACTTTTCCTCCAAATGGTTGGTCTGTTCCCAGCAACATTTTTCAATTAATTCACCATGTCCTTTCTCCATTGCTTTGAAATGCCATATCAGCACATGAGATCAGAATTTAGGCTAGCGAATTATAAATTCTTCTATAATTGGGGGGAGGGGGATTATCTCAGTTGTAGTAATAAAAAACAAAAGCATAATACAAAGATAGTCACTCAAAAACTAACTGGCCACTTATAAAACTAGTCTCTACTCAAGTTTCTTTCCACATTCAACACTATATGAATCCCCACCTGCCATCAACTTCTTATACTGGTTCATCTTTCAGTGACTGTTGGAAATTGTTACAAATACAGCATAAATGGGTTGCAGAGGGAAATTACAAATCTTGCAAATGATGCAAATACAATGCAAATTAGGTGTTATTAGAGAACCACTTGTACCACATGCATGGATAGTACCCAGGGAAAATCTGGCAATTGGTCCAGTTAACAGTGAAGTGAAGAAAACTGGTTAGAATAATGACAAGATAAATATTTCTGAAGAAAATCATTTGCATAAAAATGACAGACCCCTAGGAAAATGGATAACGCGTTGGAATGTGTTTTCTTAAAAATGACCTTCTTTCTAAAGGTGCTAGTTAGACCAAATCTGAGTGTCCTTCATCATACCAGAAACAGAACAAAAACAAACACCTTACACAATTCCTTCATAGCTGTCTCTAAGAACTGCTATAACATAACAGACATCACATAAATTTTGGCAAATACATGATAAACTTACTGTTGATTTTCATTTTACTTATTTTTCAAACAAATCTTTTGTTTTCCCAATGACAACAATGAAATGGTTCCAGTTTCAGGTAGTCTTTTTCTGACACCAATTAGTCTCGAACCTTCCATAATGAACCTAGCAATGTAAGGTAAACCTCAGCCCTAAGCACCTGCAAGGATGAAGCAAACATGTATGAGAAAGTCAGCTAGACCACTAAAGGCATCCACATTCAGATTTTTTAAAAAACACTACCCTGGTGGCCCTATGGAACTCTTGTTCTAAGGGTAGAATTCATATCACTGAGATTAAGAAAAAGACATACAATGAAAGGGCAATATTCCCCAGCAGAAAGATGTGAGGAGTAAAGAAGAGAAATATAAGTTTGACAGTTCTGTAATAAAAAGAATACCCAGTAAAGGTTAGGTTAAATGCTGGTGGAATCTGAAGGCTGATAAAGGCAAACAGGAGAAATGTGAGGCAACGAAGTCCTTAAGGTAATTCCCAGTGGGGAAGATTTCCAAATTCTGGATGCCAGGGAGGATGCTGTCATCATGGCCTTTACTGCAAAGGAAGGGCACATACAAGGTGCCAGGCTCATAAAGTCAGGAGGCTAGAAAAGACCAAGGGTTTTTTATTCTGAGATGTTTAGTCATCTGCCATTTAATAGGGAACATGGTAAAATTACACACACTCCTGCCTTTTAATACCATCCACTAAGTCACTTCATCTTTCTAGGGCCTTCGTTACCTCAGCTGTTAGGTGAAGGAGGCAAACCAGATGATCTCTGAGTTCCTGCCCAACCATTCAAAAGAAGATCGTGTCTGTGAAAAATGTTTGTGTGTTCATGTGTTCGGTCATCCACTCCCTTCTAGTATGCCACTTTACCTTCATGTATTCTGAAACAACCACAACAGCTAAACTAACATCATAAATCGCACAATTACTGGTTTGAAGCAGAAATAACTCACAGTATTTCTTATTATCTCTGTAATAATTGTACCAAGTCAGCTACCAAGATAATAAAAATTAAGAACACAGCAAATACAAGGTAAACTGCATTGTAGTCCTCATAGCAAAGAAAAGAGATTGTGTGAAACAGTTTCTGCCCTTTTCTTCCCACAGTGCAACACCAATTTAAGTGAAAAGAAGGCCAGATTGAGAACAGCTTACCCAGAAGGAGGCTCTGGCTAGAAATCTATTTGTACCGTTGTGGTTTGTGTGGTCTAGTGGGAAGCACAATGAGCTAGAAGATTTCGAATCTAGACTAACCCTTCCGGTAACCATGTGCCTCTGGACAAGATATTTAGCTTTCCCTAACTCCATTGCTATTTGTAAAACAGCAATAATTTCACATGTTTCTTCTACCTCAAAAACATGCCAAGTACAGAAATTCAGTTCAGTTCAGTCACTCAGACATGTCCGACTCTTTGCGACCCCATGAACCACAGCACGCCAGGCCTCCCTGTCCATTACGAACTCCCGGAGTCCATCCAAACCCATGTCCATTGAGTCGGTGATACCATCCAACCATCTCATTCTCTGTTGTACCATTCTCCTCCTGCCCTCAATCTTTCCAGCATCAGGGTTTTTTCAAATTAATCAGCTCTTTGCATCAGGTGGCCAAAGGACTGGAGTTTCAGCTTCAGCATCAGTCCTTCCAAAGAACAACCACGACTGATCTACTTTAGGATGGACTGGTTGGATCTCCTTGCAGTCCAAGGGACTCTCAAGAGTCTTCTCCAACACCACAGTTCAAAAGCAACAATTCTTTGGCGCTCAGCTTACACCACAGTTCAAAAGCAACAATTCTTTGGCACTCAGCTTTCTTTATAGTCCAACTCTCACATCCATACGTGACCACTGGAAAAACCATAGCCTTGACGAGATGGACCTTTGTTGGCAAAATAATGTCTCTGCTTTTTAATATGCTGTCTAGGTTGGTCATAACTTAGAAATTAGTGTGTGAAAAATTTGAGCTCCAAGGAGGAAAAGTATTATAGTCAATAAAGAAGCATGGTAATGACAAAGAGAACTGATTTTTTAATTTTTAAAAACTCACTATCATGATTGGATCACGGCAGGTGGGAGGGAGAGTCACTCAACGAAAGCCAAGCACTGTTAAGTGAAAGCAAGCAATTGTGACCACAACAAACACACACAGCTTCAATCACCCCAATGGGAGGAACTCAGTTAGACAAGCGTGACAGGCACATGCCTGGCTTACAGACTCCTGGTTTGTGAACAAACACATGTTCTACTTTCCTTCATTCTGTTCCTCCCTTCCCTCTCTTCCTCCTTTCCTCACCATCTTCCTTCCAAACATTTAGAAATTTTACATCAAGGGTTTCTATGGACACAGCCCTGAAGTCACCTCCAAATCTAGTTATTTAAACAAATGACTATAGTTCTATATTCAATAAATGTGGCATCCTAACAGTGGACAGCAATGGGTGAATGGAGGCCAAAGGACTAGTTATAGGAGGATGTTAACAAGGGCAAGATGAAGAAGACCTAAATTCAGATAAGCTATTAGAACTGCTTCTATGTAGGAAGGCAATTCTATTCTGAAACACCATATTAGAAATATGATTTTGGAATAAAAGTTAGGTTCTGTTTATATATAATTAAGGTAAAAAATATTTCAAGTCATAGACTATAGAATGCTATGGTCCCATGCCAGTCATTCTCTTCACCCAAATTTAGAAGATGAATTATACATACATCTATACAATGGCAGTAATTATAGTTTGAGTTTCTGAGTGTATCTCTGTTCCAAGAGCTGTGCTAGGTGCTTTATAAACACATAAGGCCCTGGAAACAAGGAAGGCATTATTATACCCACTTTGAAAGGAGAGACTAGACTCTGGAAAGTTAAGTAACATATTCAAGTCATATGAGTAGTAAGGCATAAAGACAGGACCCAAACACTGGTCTGTCTGCCTCCAGAGCCTGTGCTTATTAGATTATGCTATGCTGTCTCCATGTTTATCTTTTTTAAAGTGTTCACTTGCATTCCTTTTTACTTCGAGGAATGCTGGTTGAGGGGGTAAGGAAACAAGAGGAAGAGTATCAGCAGAGGGAGGTAGGTGTACAAAAGGCAAATAAAGCAGAAGATGAACAAAATCCACATCGCTTCCCATACTATGGTCCCTGCTTGAGGAGGAAATAGATGCTACAGCTGCTTCATGTAATAAACTCATTTACTCTGTCCTTGCTGCTGCCATAAAGAGAGACACTAAGAAGATGGAAGCAGGACTTGGGAGCTGCTGCCTCGAAAGGACCAAAATGCAGTGCTCTTGACAGCTCAGCCCCTCTGATGGTGGGAAGGGCTGACCCGGATGCCCATGGCCATCACTGACTGCCCAGGTAGGGGCAACCTGGATCTCTCACCCTGGCACATAGTGGCCTCAGCCCTGAATCCTGCTCATATCGCCTTATCTCCAGTTTTTTCTTTGTCTCTTCTCCCTTATTCTGGTGACCACAATCCAAGCAAACAGCAGAAGGGATGGGACTCATCTGGATTATATTAGCCACTTGTATTATGCTATTTACATTTATGAAATATGGTATCGCGAGATCACATTTAGTAAGATGTTCCTTAAAAATGGTTTTATTCTCTAATCCACTTTTTATTGGTTAGTAGCAAAACAATGTGGATCATATATTTAGAAGCAGGAGGAAGGAAAAAGACATACCATTCTAGAAATGTTTAGCAAGCAAATACCCCGAGAATATTTATCCAAGTGATTACCCTGGGATGTCTGAAGGGAAACGTGCAAGCAATTTTCTTGGCTATCATCACTTTAATATGAAATGTAAACCCCCAAATACAGCCACAATAAAAGGCACACCCCTTTAATTTGGCCAAAGTCTTAACACAGTTGTGTTTGGGAAGCATGAACGGAGTTCCTACCTGGCATGACCATGGTCTGCGGAGCCGCTGCATCAGTACTTATGCAGAGACGCCCACCTTTGGCTAAACGATCGCACAGCAAGGTGATGTGCTTCTTCAATCGGCTTGTGTCTTTGGGTATGTCCAGCTGGCTGCTGAAGTTCAAAGCCTGTTCCTTGGAACTCTTCGATAGGCAGGTCTTTAAGAGGTGAGAAAGAGCAGCATCCACAGTTTCTTCCCAGCCCTGGATGCAAAAGCCAATTTGGAATTTATGCAAAGATGACAAATGAACAAAGGAAGCACTTTACCATCAACCAGGTTATAAGATTATGAGTGTTTAGGTCCCAGTGCTGGGAACTTGTTAAGAGCTTGGTGTCTGGTAGTCTAGACCAGTCTGGTTTTAAATTCTAGCTCTGTCTGCTGTTTGAGCATGTTACTTAATTCCTCTTAGCCTCATCCTCATCTACAAATGAGGCTACTAATAATCTGTACCTCCAAGGGTTGGGGGTGATTAAATGAGATGGTATACAAGTAGCTTTTAGCCCCGTGCCATGCATGATAATCATCATTATCTCAGGTATTGCTATGTTTGATGATCCAGAGGGTGAAGCCTAAGATTATAGTTCATTTTGCTGCTGAAAGAGAACCAGCCAAGATAAGAAGAGACTGGGGGAAACTGGAATGGAGAGAAAACCCTGGTGTGTTTCTCAGGACTGGTTCCATAGTCTTGGAGCTGCAGGCAGAAACTAGAGGAGCTTTGTCAAGAGAGACTTTGGGAGGTTCAAGCCTATCCAGTCCCACTTCCCTTGTCGAGGTGACATAAAGTGACACAGAATGAAGCAGTGAGCCATTTACCCGTTTTGGCTGGGGACAGTGTGGCTATGCTATAGTGAAGACTGTGAGGAGGGTAGGGTCACCTCAGAACCCTACAGGCTGGAATTCTAGGGCTATCAATGGCAGACAGGGACTGCAGGGCCATCACAAAGGACGGGCATGAGGAAGCACCACACTCAGGTAGGTTCAGATAACAGCAGGTGAGGAGCCTTGAACAGATAACAACAGGTAAGGAGGCCTGAAGGAGAAGGGCAGCTTATGCTCTCTCACTGGACATGCCCAGAGATAACTGGGTGTGATTTTCAGGGGTTCCAGAGGTCCTAAGCATCAAAATAGAAAAGTGTGAGTGAAATCTGGATATTACTACCAATGATTGCATTTGTATCCAGAGGCCAGTGAGCCCTAGAGCACCACAGACTTGACAAAGTGAAATTATAAAGGATGACAGTGAATGACTACCCTCATAGAATTCTGCAGAATAGTCCAAGTCCCTCACCTAAGGGATGAGAAACCTGAGACTCAGAGAGGAGTCCCTGGATGAACTGACTGTTGGAACTGCTCCATCCTCAACCTGATCAGCTGAGCCACCTTGCAAATGTGCAAATTGGATTACATTATTCCTAAACTTCAACTCCTAAAGCCAAATGCTCAGTTTAGCACACAAAGCACTTTCTGCTCCACCTCCTGCTCCATTTTATTCTCTCCCTGTCCAACTGCACCCACACTCTCACCTTCGCCTCTCCACAGGCTTGATCCTCCTGTTGCAATGCCTAATCGCCACTCTTTCTTGCCAACTCCTATTTACAACTCAGCTCAGGCACCGCCATCTAAGCATCACATTTGTGGGCCCTCTCTGTGACTCTGAGACCAGACACACCCAGTTCATCACCCTGGGAGCACTCCCCAACCTCTGCTGTGGCCACTGTCAGCACTCTGGTTTCTCCAGTGCCTGGAGATGTCCGCACCCCTAGCACTGTGCTTGGTCAAGAAATGTGTCTGCTGGATAGAGACACAGAGAGATGGTGACAGATGGTGAACTAGGATCGAAGATTTGGGGAGGAGTCTGGAGATCTTTAATCCAGTCTCATGGGATGCTTCCTCGAATAAAACAGAAACCATGTGCCTAGGTATGGCTGTCCCCAGGATACAAAATTATCACTTTTTGAGACAGTTCACTCCTTTCAGGGACATGTGAAACCAGCAGAAAGTTATTCCTAAAGCTGAGCCAAAATCTGCCCCATTGGCCCTTATTCTACCCTCCAGAACTATGCAGAATAAATCTAACCTCTCTTCTACATGACAGCCCTTTATACCTAAGAAGACAGCAATTCTGTACCCTCTCCTCCAGAATAAACATCCCCAGTTCCTCCAGCTCTTCCTTATATAAACATGGTTTCAAGTTTTCTCTCTATCCTGACCACTTGTCTTTGAATGAGCTCCAATTTTAAACACTTAAACATTTATACAGCTAACCAGAGAACCCCAAACTGACCCCAAGACACCAGGCTGGGGATGGGGATTCAGGGTCGGTCGAGTCACTCCCCCACCCCATTGTTTACTGGGAATTCTCCCTGCCAGCCAGGCCTCTGGTTGCCTCTGCTTTCTTGGCAGCCACACCACACTCTCGGTTCACACAAGCAAACACAATTAAGCCCCAGGCCGTTTCCACACTCACCACATATCTTCCTTTTAGGCTTAAGCGGTTCGTTCTTTAGACCAAAGTGCAGATTCTCTATATATCCACTAAAGAACTTCCCACTGATTGCCAACACCAGAATTTTTCACTCTATTGACCCATTATAGATGCCACCAGGCAAATAAGGCAACACATTATTTTTAAATGAGATGTCAAAGGCTATAAAAACAACTTCCTACTCCAAACCACTAAAGAATAATAAAACACTAGTTGCTACAAAGACATCTCTATACAACCATCAAAATCTAAATCAGATCAATATTTAAAATTGAATTTGTATTTCAATAATAATGGGGATGAAAATTAAGACAAAATAGTAACTTAAATGTCATTGTAGAGGACATATTTCCAAGTTGTTTTTGATGCCATCAATGATGACCTCTGGAGTATAAGAAGGAAAGATCCTTTGTATATAATTTGGCATTTATGTACTCTGTGGTCATTTCAGCATTAAAACAGTTCCTACTATTTTACAGACTATTCATCTAAGCTAACTATTGTTTTCATAAGTAGGTTACAGTAGCATATTAGATAATTTAAGTAGATACAGCATTTAGTTAATATAGATGTACTACAGAATTTCCTTTTCTACTGCCAACTTGCAGATCAAGTCAAAAACCATGTCATGGTTAGGTATTTGGCATGGATATTTCTTTAATATAATGAGGCATGATGCCAAAACTTCAAAAAGATTGCTACTGAAATACAGGGTTATTATTTGGAGAGCCCAAATTACTACATAAATTCAAATATGATAACAAAAAGGAATGTTTATGAGACAAAGGAAGAGCCTTAAAAATGCAATGTGATAATCTACTGATCAAACACATAGCCTACTTACCTGATAAAATGTGAAACAAAACCATGCAGAAATCCAGAATCTCAAGTACAAAAAGTTCCTTAAAGGTAAGCTATTTTAACCACCTTTTTGGTGTTTGAATCCATCACCTTTATTTAGAGCCTTTAAACTGATAAGTCCAATATTTAGTTTTAATGTCTAAACACACACACACACACACACACAAACACACAACCCACATGCACATACCTGATCTTTATCCTCTAACGTTGAACATTAGTTGTACTAATAACTGAACACCAATTGATGTTCATCAATTGCCTTCTCCTAATTGTGAGAGTGAAAGAAAATCTTAATTTTGGTAAAATGGCACTAAAAATGTCTGGAAGGGATGAAACTACTAAGCAAGCATGCTTCAGTAATAATTGATATGATTTTAGTTCTCAAATACACAGCCTAACTCTTAAATCCCAGTTTATCCATGTACAGCTTTTGGAAAACAATAGTTGGTGGGAAGTTAAATAAAGATATAAATGTGTGAATAAATCAACAAATAAATTTAAATGTACATGCTGTTCTGTTTTATCTTCTCCACAGCCCTTGTCAGCATTACAAATTAGTTTATTTACTTGGCTTTTTGGTGCTTACTGTATCTTTGGGGTTTTCCTTTGTTCCCAAGCTCTAGACTCTATCCCATGTGGTAACTTGACTTTTGTCCTAGTCCTACCTGAGCCCCTACGTTGGGAGCCTGCTTGAAAGGTACCCTCTTACTGGACTGGGCTGCCTTGCTCCTGCCAAATCCTCCCAAGGAACTAGACCCATGGCTGCAGCCCTGCTGCTTGACTTCAATGCCAAGCTGCCTGCTGCATGCATCCCCCAGACTGAGGGCCTGCTCACTCAGTCTTACTGCTTTTGTGTTCCACCTGCCTGTGTGGAGTCTCCTGTAAGCCATGCAGGCCCCACATGCCTTTCGGTACCAGTGGGATGTCCCATTTCTATGGTGTCTGCTATCCTCTTCCTGACTGAAGACAACTGAGGTACGAGTTTTATGATCCAGAGGCCAGACAGCCATGGCTGAGTTTCTGACGTCTCTGCCCTACCTGTCCTGCTAGTCTCCACCGGTCACGGTGCCTAAATACAAGTATAAGCAAGCGGCTTTTCAGAAAGAATAAGAAGCAGAAAGTTTGGCCAACTTTGTAAAGTGTATATCCTAGGGTATCAACCAAAGTAACCAAAAAAAAAAGAAAAACCTAGAAGAGTTTTCTCATGCCACCTACAAATTAAAACAACCAAGTTGAAGATAGCTGCCCCTCGGCTTCTGGGTTTTGATTTAACTCATTCACCTCAACTGCCTCTTCACTTTGATAAATCACTTAATCTCTGTAGACTATATCTGTCTGTGTGTGTGTGCGTGCGCATGCACACGCACGCACACACACTCCATCACTCCATTGGGTCTGACTCTCTGTGACCCCATGGACTGTAGGTGGCCAGGATCCTCTGTCCATGGAACTTTCCAGGCAAAAATACTGGAGCTGCCATTTCCTATTCTAGGGGATCTTTCTGACCCAGGGATCGAACCCACATCTCCTGCATTGGCTGGTGGATTCTTTACCACTAGCACCACCTGTGAAGCCCAAAGTATATCCAAGGTCTCCATAAAACAGGAATAACACTATTTGTCAAGCCAATCTTACATGAATGATAAGGCACTCAAAATCTTAAGCAGAAGATACTGTGGAATAAGCATATATATGCAATCCTACTTTTTTAAAAAATTAGAAAATAAAAACACACCATTGGAACCCAATGTACAAAGTCACATCTTTAAACTGTTATTCAAACAAATTATAAACTTCTGCAAATGTATGTTTGTAATAGAAACACTACCACATCGGCAACTATAGTAGCATAG